CACATTTAAAACCAAAACAGTATTACATACATCATATACAGACATTCAGGTTAGGGACCGAATCCCTAACACAACAGTACAGTGCAAGTCTTAACATTTATTACAGAACAAAGGCAAAAGGGAAAATCTAAAACACCCCAAACCAGCCTTGGCTTGAAACGACTTGGAACCTCGCAGTGAGGCACAACGGTTGGCTTGACAAAACGAGAGCTAACCCGACGCTCCTAGCTTCGGTCCGGTGTCTGGACACCTACATATATATATAAACAGTGAGCTAGAGCCCAGTGAATAACAACTATGTAAAAAGGTTAAGAATGAATGTCCTTTCAGTCATTAAACAGTCATATCAGTCATTTAGAAACTATAGCAGTTATATGTGGTACATCCAATAGCAAAACAATACAGTAGGTCTTAACAGACCAAACAGTCAGTTGATGGCCATCATAGTAGCAGTAATAGTAGCAGTAATAGTACAGTAACAGTAGATTGCTATAGATGCCACGAATTCAGTTTAAAATTAGGACAAACATTTATTCAGTAAGAAATATCATTTCAGAAAGCAGTACGGTAGATCATTCAGAAAATATTCATGATTGAACATATCTTTACAACATTGTTACTCACAGAGCACTGGGCTATAGGCAGCTAATGAGCGTCCTCGGATGCCAACCCTACACAGTTACAGAACGAACACACACTAAGTTACACACTTGGGAATCAACAACTTAGTCCCTATCTTGACTCAGTGTGGTTCTACATTAATATCCTCATTAAGATGCCTTAAACATGGCCTAGGAATGCCTAGGATGGAAAGAGGATGCAAAGATGCACTTTAAAACACTTTTCAAAATTTGCTGAAACAGGGGTCCACGCTCGAGCGTGGCTTTCTACGCTCGAGCGGACATGCAGACAAAGGAGTTCTGCTCGAGCGTGACTTCCTTCGCTCGAGCGGACTGTAAACTCAAGCAAAAGTACTGGATGCATACAATTCACGCTCGATGGGCGCTCGATCTCCGCTCGAGCGTGAGACACAAGTCCTCGCTCGAGCGTTCATTTCCTCGCTCGAGCGGACTGCAAACATATGAAAAGTACTGGATACACGCATTTCATGCTCGAGCGTTACTTTCCCCGCTTGAGCGGGATGCATGTACTCAGAGTGTATGCTCGAGCGTGAAGTCTTACGCTCGAGCGTGGGTCCAAAATCTAGAATTTTCAGATTGAACCTCCAAGCTCAAATTCAACATTTAAAGCATCAAATTCGATTCTTTTGGGCCAATTTTCTAGAAAACACTTTAAAACTCATAATATGACATGTTTCAAAGATCAATTTGCAAAATCAAAGCCCAAAGGTAGTTCAATTAAACACAAATCCAAACAGAACTTCATGACATAATGTATATGTAACATGCAAGTGTTCAATTGAAATCAAAGCTTCAAATACTTGATCAAATGAGTCAATTCACTCAAAAACATGATGAATTCATGGACCATAGCTAGAATATAGACATGCATGTGAGGATTTCCATGAAATCAACCTCAAAACTTAACAATGTGTACATGCATGCATGATTTAGTTACTCAAATCAACTCTTTAAACAAATTCTTGACTTAGATCACTAATGACTCATGAACCATGCAAGAACCAACTTGAATTCATAAACTAAAGGATAAATATCCTACCTTAGGTCCTCAATTTCAAGTCTAGAAACTCAATTATGCAATCTACTCTTCAATTCTTCTAATTCTCCAAGCAATTCTTGTTGAAACCAAAGCTCTCCTGCTCTCCCTCTCTTGCTCACAGTTTTGGCCTCAAGAAGGATGATGAAATGATGTATGGAATGTACTAATTAAGTCCCAAACAAGTGTATAGGAAATGACCACTCAATGACAAAATTGTAATAAACTTGAACTAATGTAATTTAACATTATTTAATCTAATTTAATCATTCCAAATCAAATTTAAATTAAACCTACCATAAAATCACACAAATTCTAATTAGCATAAAACACTAATCAATTTCTGATTCGGCCGCCGATAAGGCCTTCAATTTGCAGTTCAAAACTTAAAACATGAACAAATCAATCAATTGATAAACAGATAGAAATGCAATCAAACAACATACTCATGCAATCAGTTTAGGATTTCATCCTAATCAGTTACTTATCATGTTCAGTCACAGTTTAGCAGTAATTAGAGGTGAGGGTTGTCACATTGCATTAGCCATCTTAACATAAACTAGGGTCATGCATTGATTTCTAACTAGTTCTCTATTTTGGCTCATAGTACACTGTGAGTGTTTATGCTTTAGCATACTGCATGTGTGTTAATGTTGCCATGTTAGCATGCTTCCATGAGGCTAATTGCTTAGTTAATATAAACTGCCTGAATGCCTGTGGGTGAAGGTTGGATTACTTAAATTGGAACGATTCATTGAAATCCGTGTTTTAGCCTACTTACGAGTAGCAAACTTCAAAACCATTTCCAAACAAACAAACGGATATGTGATGCTTTGTTCCAAATTAGGTGATCTAGTCTATACTTGTGTGTTGTGCACATCACATAGTAATTCTAGCTAATTAACCAGAATAAGAACGCATGTGTTTTCAAAAAACAAGATATCATGCTTAGTACAGGCCGATCTTTGATCGGGCGAGCGGGGGTGCTCATTGTATGACCTTCCCCTCTCGTACCCAAGTTCTCGAGCCGAGGCAACTTTGGTGATGACGGACACGTGGCCTTAGGCACGAGTTAGGGTTTCCTAAATTTCCCCCAAAATAAAATATTTAGGTGGCGACTCTGTATCTGGCAAAGCAGTCCATGTTTGGCACTTTTTTCTTAAAAATCAGTTTTTCAAAACGATTTGCCGGATTTGGACTCTTTAGTGATTTATCGGTCTTGCGTCGCACTTTGCGAGATTAGATTCAGAACCGTGACATTGAGTTCGAACTGTAGTAGCTAGAGAACAAAACGAGATTTTCTCGGGAGTTCTCCGGGCGATCTACAGTTACCTCTTCCATAGGTTCTGTTATGAGCTTTTATAGGTTCCGTGTGGCATAATCCTAGTAGTACTCTTATTCCTCCATGTAAAGTCCTCCTAGGAATCACACTCCTGAAAGATAATGCTTATCCTTCAACACCCCCTCACTGCTTAAACCAAGTGAGATGGTTTTACCTCGGTGAAATGACGACATAATCGAGCTAACAATATCTCTTTGTCATACTCAATCCAGTACCTTCATATGCAACTCATAGCTCGACTCTTGTTCACATGTACCTCGGTTTTGTCCGTTGAGATCGAGCTAACTATAGCAAGCTTTGACCGTGCTAACCAGAGTAAGGTCCACCATAAGAAACCACGATACCTCGATTCCAAACACAGTGGCCGAGCTAATTACCCCTCCAACCGGGGTGACTGAGTTAACTACAAGGCAATTTTTGGACCGAGCTAACCACAAGGCCCTTTTATTCAGCCCTTTTACTATGGCCCACAGAACGGCCCATTACTACACCTTGGCCTAGCTCGGCCCTAATGCACATAAAAACTCCCTCTCACCTTCCATGTCTTCATCTATCATCTTCAACTTGAACTGCCATAGATTACCAAAATCCTCAATTTGAGCTCTCATGAGTTTCATGAAATGTTAGGATTTTTTGGATTGAGAGAGGCAAAATTTATTAAGAAAGAGAGAGAGAGCGAGTAGGAGGATGGGAAAAAGTCATTGATTTTGTATCATATCTAAGGTACAACTCCATAGTGTGAAGGATGCAAGCATGTCATGTGTAGGGTGTGTGAAGGATGTAAGTATATGCATGCAATTTCATAGTGTGAAAGGTGCAAGTGTATCATGTGTAGGGTGTATAATGCCATTTTGTGTAGGAGGCAACTTCATAGTGTGCAGGGTGTAAATACATCGTATGTAGAGTCAGTGGCAGAGCCACGTAAGGACCAGGGGGTAAATACATCGTATGTAGAGTCAGCGGTGAAGCCACGTAAGGACCGAGGGGTCATGTGCCTCCTTGGATTTTGTATTTTGTATTTTTTTTTCAAATATAAAGAAAATATTTTAAATAAAAAGAATTACAAAAATATTATTAGAGTAAAATGTCAATGACATTTTAAAAATTATAAAAATAATAATGGTTGTTTTGATTGAAAATGAAGAGACTATACACCATATTATCTATGAAAAAAATTTTATAAAATTTTTTTAATGTAACATTGATGCCTATTATTATTAACATGCAAATATAATTAATCTCACTATGAAGATATAAAATTTATTGGATTGTTAATTATATTCGATACGCAGGACTCACCCTTTGTGTTTCTTTACTATTGGTTAGTGATATCACATATCAATGATGACGTGATAATACTATTATATTTATTTTTTCCTAAAATTTTGTATAAAATATTACTTTCTCATTATATAATTTATTTTAAGACTTATATCCATAACTTTTTTCGTATTGTCCATGATACACTAGTTACAAATAACATTATTTTTTTTTTTTTTATCTTTCTCGAAGTCAATCTAAAAATTTATTTGAAATATTTTTGTAAAAATTTTTAATATTATAATTAATAAGTGCTCTTCTAATTTAATTTCTTGCCGGATGTCACCATTCTCATAATGGGAATAGGGGATAATAGAAAAGGTAAACCTATACAGCTTACATAATAGAAACATTCCAAAAAATATGCATGACAATGGTTGCGAGAGTTTTGTTTCATAGCAATGCTGTGAATAATATAGCTCCAATTACATGCTTCACAAAACATAAAACTTAATTGATATTAAGGGATTGTTTGGAATGATTTAAATAAGTGCACTTTTTGATTTTTTATGAAATTTGGGTTGGGTTGGGCTGGGTTTGAATTGATTTGTTAGAGAGGTGATGTGACTTAAATAAGATGATGTGACTTAAATTGGATAGTGACTTTTTAACTTTTTTCAAACATGCCAAACCAGCTCTAAAACTTCATAAGTTTTCAAAATTGCAAGCCAATAAAACATGCATACATGCACGACAGGCTCTTTGAATATACTTTGATCCACAAGCAACCTATCAACCGTGAAGAATCATTAACTGTCACTTGTCATGATGCCTTTCTGGATAAATTCGTCAATCCACACCCGACGCATTTAAGTATGACTGTCCCTGTTGATGGATCTGGCTTGATGACAAATTTAACGCCTAGAAAGTCTCTGATGTTCCTCAGTGTTTCTATTCCATATGGCGAGAGTTTCCCTACGCGAACCTTTGAAACATCTTGTGGACATAATGCACAAAGAATGAACAACAAACCCTGCCAAACCAAATATAACAGCAATGACTATCTATCTCATAAAGTAAATATCAAGAAAGCATTGCAATTTGACAATCTAAAGCTTCAAAGCCAGTCAAAGTACTTTCAATTTTCAACCTCATTTTGTTATCAACAGATATGCATTTTAAAGTGGAGTTGATTTAGCACTCTAACCTGGTTTTACTGTATTTATTTATTTGTAAAAGTCAACTCATGGTCAGTGTTTGGTAAGCTTGTATGATAGAAGACCCCAAAGTAGCTTATACGGTAACAGATTTAGCCCTTAAAAGAACTACCCTTAACCGTTTGTAGCAACACTGTTGTAGGAAATTAAATTGGGATTTAACATTCTTTTCGTTGTTGCCCAAAAGAAGACCCTAAGTCATTGCAATTTGTTGATTTTACATCATTCAATATGTAGCAGGCAAACAAGAGAGGGTGCGAGTGTGTGAGAGGAGATATGTATAGCCTAGTTGGCTAGCCATTTGGCCACCAAGTCTCTCCTAAGGGGGAGTCTTGGGTTCCACTCTTAGGAGTAGAATGGGAGCGTTGAAAGGTGAATGGGTGTGAGTTTCAACTCCCCTGAAGTGTTAATCTAACAACTAACCATTGACTTTCGCTGAAAAAAAAAAGAAAAAAAAAGAGATATGTATACAAAGAGAAATGTAAAATAAAAATTTGAAAACAAACCTGGTGTGTTGAGTCCACCACACCTCCTTGTTCAATCTCCCCAAGCAATATAGAAGCAATTTGCTCCCCAACATCCACTGGTGGCATAAGCTCTTTCTTCTCTTCGTCTTCAATTTCACCCTCTTCATCCCCACGTGCATAAGACACTGCACTATCAGCAGAGATGAAGCAGCCAGTAGTAGTTTCAGCAACTAGTGAAATTCCATAGCCAGGTGACCTGCCATTAAAGATCCCCACATGGTACTAATCATAACATGTTCTAATAAAAGAAACTAAAAACATAATTGTGTATTCCAAACAAGTGAACTACCACTAGAGGATGTATATACTAAATCCCTAAACATACTTTCCAGCTTGAGCTCCAGCTTTATGATCAGTAAATATGTGGACATCCGGAAGCAGGCGATTAAAAATTCCTCGAGCTGCATGTATCATGGTATTCTCAAACTGAGCAGACACTCTTGTTGAAAAAGTAACTCCCCTAACCTCTTCACCATGCCCTCATCAATCCAGGTGACTCCCTGTAGAACAATACATAATAAGAGAAACTTGATGCAGAAAATGATAGAACATGACTTAGATGAAGAAACTCACCGTTAAACTACTTCGGACAGTAGGAACCGAAAGAAAAACTTCTCCACCACCATGAGGAGGAGCACCACGGCACTCAATTTTCAGATCCAATCCTTCTGAAGGAACTCCGAAATGCTTCAGGATTGGTAAGGTAGTTGATCGGAAAGTATCAACAGATGGATCCTTAGAATCATTTGTAATCCCTGAAAGCAACATAGATACAATTTATAATGATAATGAGGCTTCGTTTGGGAACAGGCTAATTTAGTAACTTTTTGGCTATTTGGCTAAAAAAGTAGGTAAAAAAAACTTGTATGTTTGGGATGACTTTTTGACTAATTACGAAAAGATGTGCAAAAAGTAGAGAGAAAAGAGAATCTTTGACTTTTTGGTATGGGTTGTTGGCTTTTTGGCTAATTTAGTAACTTTTTGGCTAATTGGCTAAAATAGCCTCTTGCCAAACGAGGCCTGTACTCCAAACCCTGGATTCATTTCTACCTAAAACAGTGTTTAAAATCATTATAATTTATATTGACAATCGATATACATGTAAAGCTTTTCAATTGGTAAATGCAGCAACTGCTAAGCTTCATGGCTAATCCATTCTAGAAGGTTTCCAGCATAAAAAACCAGGCAATATCTACTAATATAATGGCAAAACCTTACAGATAATATTTACAGCTGATAAGCTTTTCCTCAAACATCACTAATTGTGCACCTTTTCTCGCAATAACTAACAAGCAGTAGGAAAACACCAATGACATGTACTCATGATTGAATGCTTCCCAGAATTCTTCAAATTATGGTGCCCAACGACTTGTGTGTATTTTACCTAAAGAAAATGTTAAATAACAAAAATAAAAAATCAAGGGCAAACTACACAATCCGCTCCTAAGGTTTTCTGAGTAGCTTACAAACTACACAATCCGCTACTAGAGATGCTAGCATAATCTACCAAAAACAGCAAAATTGATTTTCAAAAATGCCAAAACCACCCTTTTCCACTATTGCTAAGACCAAAGTGCATTTCTCATGCATTTAAGGCACTTACATATAGCCAAGGCCAACAGCCAAGTCTTGTGGACATAATGCACAAAGAATGAACAACAAACCCTGCCAAACCAAATATAACAGCAATGACTCTCATAAAGTAAATATCAAGAAAGCATTGCAATTTGACAATCTAAAGCTTCAAAGCCAGTCAAAGTACTTTCAATTTTCAACCTCATTTTGTTATCAACAGATATGCATATTAAAGTGGAGTTGATTTAGCACTCTAACCTGGTTTTACTGTATTTATTTATTTGTAAAAGTCAACTCATGGTCAGTGTTTGGTAAGCTTGTATGATAGAAGACCCCAAAGTAGCTTATATGGTTACAGATTTAGCCCTTAAAAGAACTACCCTTAACCGTTTGTAACAACACTGTTGTAGGAAATTAAATTGGGATTTTACGTTCTTTTCGTTGTTGCCCAAAAGAAGAGGACCCTAAGTCATTGCAATTTGTTGATTTTACATCATTCAATATGTAGCAGGCAAACAAGAGAGGGTGCGAGCGTGTGAGAGGAGATATGTATAGCCTAGTTGGCTAGCCATTTGGCCACCAAGTCTCTCCTAAGGGGGAGTCTTGGGTTTCCACTCTTAGGAGTAAAATGGGAGCATTGAAAGGTGCATGGGTGTGAGTTTCAACTCCCCTGAAGTGTTAATCTAACAACTAACCATTGACTTTCGCTGAAAAAAAAAAAGAAAAAAAAAGAGGTATGTATACAAAGAGAAATGTAAAATAAAAATTTGAAAACAAACCTGGTGTGTTGAGTCCACCACACCTCCTTGTTCAATCTCCCCAAGCAATATAGAAGCAATTTGCTCCCCAACATCCACTGGTGGCATAAGCTCTTTCTTCTCTTCGTCTTCAATTTCACCCTCTTCATCCCCACGTGCATAAGACACTGCACTATCAGCAGAGATGAAGCAGCCAGTAGTAGTTTCAGCAACTAGTGAAATTCCATAGCCAGGTGACCTGCCATTAAAGATCCCCAGATGGTACTAATCATAACATGTTCTAATAAAAGAAACTAAAAACATAATTGTGTATTCCAAACAAGTGAACTACCACTAGAGGATGTATATACTAAATCCCTAAACATACTTTCCAGCTTGAGCTCCAGCTTTATGATCAGTAAATATGTGGACATCCGGAAGCAGGCGATTAAAAATTCCTCGAGCTGCATGTATAATGGTATTCCCAAACTGAGCAGACACTCTTGTTGAAAAAGTAACTCCCCTAATCCTCTTCACCATGCCCTCATCAATCCAGGTGACTGCCTGTAGAACAATACATAATAAGAGAAAAATGATGCAGAAAATGATAGAACAGGACTTAGATGAAGTAACTCACCGTTAAACTACTTCGGACAGTAGGAACCGAAAGAAAAACTTCTCCACCACCATGAGGAGGAGCACCACGGCACTCAATTTTCAGATCCAATCCTTCTGAAGGAACTCCGAAATGCTTCAGGATTGGTAAGGTAGTTGATCGGAAAGTATCAACAGATGGATCCTTAGAATCATTTGTAATCCCTGAAAGCAACATAGATATAATTTATAATGATAAAATGAGTACTCCAAACCCTGGATTCATTTCTACCTAAAACAGTGTTTAAAATCATTATAATTTATATTGATAATCGATATACATGTAAAGCTTTTCAATTGGTAAATGCATCAACTGCTAAGCTTCATGGCTAATCCATTCTAGAAGGTTTCCAGCATAAAAAACCAGGCAATATCTACTAATATAATGGCAAAACCTTACAGATAATATTTACAGCTGATAAGCTTTTCCTCAAACATCACTAATTGTGCACCTTTTCTCGCAATAACTAACAAGCAGTAGGAAAACACCAATGACATGTACTCATGATTGAATGCTTCCCAGAATTCTTCAAATTATAGTGTCCAAGGACTTGTGTGTATTTTACCTAAAGAAAATGTTAAATAACAAAAATAAAAAATCAAGGGCAAACTACACAATCCGCTCCTAAGGTTTTCTGAGTAGCTTACAAACTACACAATCCGCTACTAGAGATGCTAGCATAATCTACCAAAAACAGCAAAATTGATTTTCAAAAATGCCAAAACCACCCTTTGCCACTATTGTTAAGACCAAAGTGCATTTCTCATGCATTTAAGGCACTTACATATAGCCAAGGCCAACAGCCAAGTCAAATGCAGCCAAGGCCAACAACCAACTTAGTGTCTCTTTCACACATACACACACACCCCACACTGAAGAGTTGCCCAGAGCCATATTAGTTCTTTCTCTTTATACCATTGCTAAGACCAAACTGCATTTGTCATGCATTTAAGGCACTTACATATAGCCAAGGCCAACAGCCAAGTCTTATATGCAGCCAAGACCAACAACCAACTTAGTGTTTCTTTCACACACATTTTTGGCATAAGCTTAGATTTTCCTTCACCAACATATATGATTGTATCGCCAATACCAATACAATTATTGGGTTATTGTGAAATCGCATTATGATTTGGCTAGCATCTTTCCCATATAATAAATCTTCCTCTCATCATACTTTCTACTATTGTTGCAGTTAATTTTATACTTCTTTTCACTATTATTTTGTTATAGGTCTTTTTTCTGTTCATGTTTTGCATGGTACAAACTTTAGTTGAAGAAGTTTGAATTAGTGATGTTTTCTTGTATCAAAAAAGAATCTTGTGTCTTAACTTGTGCTATATCTTGATATGTTTCTGTCATGTAGATGGTTGGAGCTGAAGCATTGAGGATTGGTGTAAATGGGCCATGGGTCACTAAATCATACCTTGAAATGATTCTTGAAAGAAGAGGTTGAGAAACGGCATAATTTCGTTATTGTTTTTACCCCATCTGTATTCCCTACAATTGTTTGGTTCCTTTCGCCTTTCGTCTTTCATATCAGTTATTCTCTTTTCAATTAATCCCCATCTCACTTGCAGGTGTACCACGCCTTAATACACCACCACTTTTGTCTAATACATCTACCACTATTGTTCAAGAAAGGTTGATTACTGCACCAAAGCCTCTTCGAATTGCTTCGAACCTTGTGTTTGAAGATTTATCTCAGCCATGGACTCAATCGCCAACAAAATCCCAAATGGAACCTGTACTAGCAACTTGGCATTTTGTCTCACCAGATCCTCCACTTGCTGATGGCTCTGTCATTGGTATGTTTTCTCAACCAGTAGAAAGTAAAATTTCTCATGCCAGCATTATTGTTAAGTGAACTTTGCCTTGGGTGTGTTATCTATTCTTCATTTATCTTGACTCCTTTCATGAAACAGCTACAGATCCTTCTTCTTTCAGGGATAGCCTGCAGCTTGTTCCAATGCCTGATTCATATGACTTGGATAGGGGATTGCTTCTTGCTGTTCAAGCAATACAGGTAACGGTTATTAGATAAGTAGGGAGGAAAACTTTTAGACTTTGGAGCTTCAAGTCTATGGGAGTCTTTTGTCTTTTAGTCAGATCCAAACTTCAGGACTGTCTTTTATTTCAGGCTTTGTTGGAGAATAAAGGTCTTCCAGTTATAGTTGGAATTGGTAAGATCTCTCTCTCTCTCAAGAAAACTGGTCTGAATGTGATTGCCAAAAA